CCCAAACCCAAACCCAACCCCAAACCCTACTAGTGGGCAAACCCAACCTTGAAAAGATTATGGTAGGTATCAAAAATCTTGGTTTGTACAATACAATATACCAGATTCAACATTCCGGTTAGAAAATTCAACATTATTTGACTGCTGAACCCCAAAACCCAGTAATTAGTATCGTGTCTAATTTAAATTTTTATGTGTAAGTTCAGAATGAAGAAGAAGAAGCATTTCTCAGGTTTGCACTTAAGTTTCTTAATTTATTAAAGATTGAACTATTTCATCTATTCAATTAGAAATTTTAAAGTATAATAAATTATCGAAATCAACTTAGAATCTTTCAAAAAAAATCTGAAAAAATTTTAACAGAAGCAAAGAAATAACAAATGGAAAATGAAACTTAAAAATAAATCTAATCTAATAGAAATCATTATTTTTTTATTTAAAAGATTATGAATACTCCTAAAAGCTAACTAGAAACCTTATTTGATATATTTATCAACGTTTTGGAGGTGGATGAAGAAATATTCACTCACATAATAGAAATTTTTAGAAGAGAAAACATATCAGAAACTATTGAATATCTTTCGATAGAAGTTAATCAAAGGCATATTCAATCAAGCATTATAAAACTTAAGAATTCATCAAATGCATATGAAGGATACAAGTAAGAAGCTTTATGTAAGGACATTAAGATTATTCTTAATACGCTCAAAAATATTAAAGATAATGACATAAATAAAAAGGATTTTTCCTCTGAACAATATTTAAAAATAAAAAAAGATATAATGAATAAAATAGAAGAAAGTAAAAAGATCAAATCATTTGTAAAATTTTTAGTTCAACTAACTGCTTTTGATAAATAATTCGTAGTATGTGGATCAAATTCACTTCACTTATTGGTGGAAATGAAAGTAGATTTTAAGAACTAGTGCTTCGAAAATATCAGGATTGAGAATACTTCTTTATTTGGAGGAAATTTTGTGAGATGTAATTTGAGTGGATCAAATTTTAATAATGTTGATATTAATGGTATGAATTTAAATGGTGCGTAACTATTTAACTGTAGATGGAAGAATATAAGAATACTAGAATTAAATAAATTAAATGGTCATACTGGTTGGGTTCAATCAGTCTGTTTCTCTCCTAAAGTAACTACTTTAGCATCTGGTAGTTCTGATAAATCTATACGTTTATGGGATGTTAAGACAGGATAATTGAAAGCAAATTTGAAAGGGCATTTAATATATTCATTAAGCTTTTCTCCTGATGGTACTCTTTTAGCATCTGGTGGAGAGGAGTTCATATGTTTATGGGATATCCAAAGCTTGAAAAAAATAAAATAAATAAGTGTTAATAAAAATTTTGTTTAGTCTGTTTGTTTTTCTCCTGATGGAAATACATTAGCATCTGGTAGTGAAGATAAAACAATACGTTTATGGGATATTAAAACAGGATAATAAAAAAATAAATTAGATGTTCGTGCTATGGTTCGAACAGTCAGTTTCTCTCCTGATGGAAATTCTTTAGCATCTGGCTGTAGTGATAACTCTATACGTTTATGGGATGTTATGACAGGATAATAAAAAAATAAATTATATGGTCATACTGATTAGGTAATGTCAGTCTGTTTTTCTCCTGATGGAGATACTTTAGCATCAGGCAGTTCTGATACCTCTATACGTTTATGGAATTTTTGGACAGGATAATAAAAATATAAAATTATTGGTCATACTAGTTCTGTCTTCTAAGTCTGTTTTTCTTCTGATGGAAATACTTTAGCATCTGGCAGTAGTGATAAGTCTATAAGTGTATGGGATGTTAAGACAGGATAATAAAAAAATAAAATAATAGGTCATACTAATTTTGTCTTCTCAGTCTGTTTTTCTTCTGATGGAAATACTTTAGCATCTGGTAGTGGAGATTGCTCTATACGTTTATGGGATTTTAAATCAGGATAATAAAAAAATCAACTAGATGGTCCTGCTGATTATTTAAGATCAGTCTGTTTCTCACCTGACAGTAATACTTTAGCATCTGGTGATCAGGGTAAGTCTATACGGTTATGGGATGTTAAGACAGGATAATAAAAAAATGTATTATATGGTCATAGTAAGGGGGTCATGTCAGTTTGTTTTTCTCCTGATGGAAATACTGTAGCATCTGGCAGTTGGGATAACTCTATACGATTATGGAATGTTAAGACAGGATAATAAAAATTTAACTTAGCTGGTCATACTAGTAGTGTATATTCAGTCAATTTTTCTCCTGATGGAAATACTTTAGCATCTGGATGTTATCATTGCTCTGTGCGTTTATGGGATATTAAGACAGGATAATAAAAAAAGAAATTAACTGGCCATACTAAGAGCGTATATTCAGTCTGTTTTTCTCCTGATGGAAATTCATTAGCATCTGGTAGTGAAGATTGCTCTATACGTTTGTGGGATGTTAAAACAGGATAATAAAAAAATAAATTAGATGGTCATACTAGTGTTATTCAATCAGTCTGTTTCTCTCCTGATGGAAATAGTTTAGCATCTGCTAGTAACTCTATTCGATTATGGGATGTTAAGACAAGAAAATTAAAAAATAAATTAGGTGGTCATACCGGTTATGTACACTCAATATGTTTCTCTCCAGATGGAAATACTTTAGCTTCTAGTAGTAGTGATAAATCCATATGTTTATGGGATGTAAAAACAGGATAGTAATAAAATAAATTAGATTGTCATACTAGTGTTTTTCGATCAATCTGTTTCTCTCCTGATGGAAAATTTTTAGCATCTGGTAGTAGCGATAACTCTATACGTTTATGGGATGTTAGGAAGGGATTTAAAAAAAATAAATAAGTTGGTCATATTTGTGGTGTCTACTCAGTCTATTTCTCTCCTAATGGAAATACTATAGCAGTTTGTAGTGTGGATAACTCTATTAGTTTATGGAATGTTAAGACAGGATAATAAACAAATAAATTAGATGGTCATAATAATCTAGTCATGTCGGTCTGTTTCTCTCCTGATGGAAATATTTTAGCTTCTGGTTATGAGGATAAGACTATACGTTTATGGAATGCTAAGACAGGATAATTAAAAAATATATTAGATGGTCATACTGGGGAGGTATTATTAGTCTATTTCTCTCCTAATGGAAATTTTTTAGCCTCTAGTAGTAATGATAATTCTATACTTTTATGGGATGTTAGGACGGGATAATAAAAATATAAATTTGATGGTCATTGTGAATCAGTCTACTAAGTCAGTTTCTCTTCAGATGGTAAGACATTAGCTTCCTGTAGTTATGATAATACTATTCTTCTCTGGGATTTTTAAAAAGGACAATATATAGCATAAGTGAATTGCTAAACCAAGATAACATCATTATGCTTCTCACCTGATGGAACTGCATTAGCCTATTCTGTAAAAAATTCAGAGAAAGCTGAAAATGATAACGAAGATGATAATGAAGATGATGATGGAGGTCAAAATATAGATGAAGATGAAAATTAAGATGAAGAATAAAATGAAAAAGTAGTTGGAAATGGAGATTAAGATGTTGATAACAACAAATATTTTCCTATTTATTTATGGGAAATTAAAACAGGATCATTATTAAATCAATTAGATAAGCGTTACAAAGAGTTTTTGGCTTAATTTAAAACTTCGCTTTTTTAAAATAGCCAACTTCCATAAAGCAGTATATATAGTTATATTTTTTATTTAGTGATGCATCATCCAAAATTAATTATATCCTCAGAACCAACCCTTTATGCTTAAGGTGCTCTAATTTTAAAAGGAGAATTCAAAAATCATTAAGATTATGATTTAAAACCTTTATTAAAAACTTAAGGTGGTTACTTTTTGGACAAATGAAAAAATTATTAAAATAATAATAACAAAAATAAAAGAATAGAATTTATAAATTTAAAATGTATTTTATTCTTATTTTTGGTTTTGTATTTCCATCATGCTTATATTGATTATATTGATTGTTTCGATTTATATTTTTACAAAATAAACATTAATTATAGATTTTTAAAAAGTTCTAAAAGTATCGTTGGATGAACAGTTCCTTTTAATTAAATTTCCTCTCATTAATTGACTGATTAACAATCATATTATTTATTTCATTTCGACAATTTATTTTTTTTGATTCAATTTTTGATAAATAATGAATTAATGTACTTATTATATTCATCTATCTAGTGCTAATGGATTATATAATCAAAATGATTAAAAGGAGGGCTAATGGTTTGAATTAAGTGAAAATGAATAGAAATAAATAGCTATATTAGTTATAAAGCAAGAATTAAGTGTTGTACATTGGAAATTACAAAAATGGCATAAAAATAGGGAGATGGGAAACTATGTTCCGTTTTGATTATGGTGAGGATTGTAAGATTATGTAAGATGTTTTATTATGATATAGAGGGGAGGTGGATATTATGATGAAAATAGATTTGAATGTGGTGAATGGACAGAATTGTGCAATAATTTTTAATGTACTATTATTATAAGTGTATTAGTCATCATTAAGTGATTTATAAAGGTGAATAGTACTTGGGGAAAAAATTGGAATCTGGAGCACTTTTTAAAGATTTGATTGTGCTGATGATTTTGAAATGATGTAATAATTATATTTGATGTAGGGGTGGTGGTGCATATAATTTAAATGGGATAAAGCCCTTTTTGATTCGCCAAAATGGGAATATTTCCTAAAACTGCGTCCTTAAGATTTTCAGTCATAGACAGTCTTAACCAAACCCAACCCCGTATCTATTAAAAATAAAAATTAGAATTAAATTTCTGTTGTTCAAAAAAAATAAACTATAAACTTAATTTGTATCTGAGGAAAATATTTTAAAATTGTATTTATAATTTCAATTAATCTTGAGCTCATCTTTTATTTTTTAGAGATCTTCTTTAAAGATTTACATTTCTTTAAATTCTTCATCTTTTGATTACAAAGCAATTGAAAAATGTTTCTTCAATTATTTAAATAGATTTATTCTTTGGAGATATCCATCCTTCCTTGATTTTTCTTCTTCATTAATCATATCTTCAACATATTATTTTTAACTTTGGCATACAGTCTTTTTCGTTTTCAGAAAATATCATAAATTAAGAGAGAACTTCATCCCTATTTTTAAATTGGATGTGAAGTCTATTAAAAAATCAACAATAGAATTAAATTTATGTAATTAAAAAAAAAATAAACTATTAATGAGTAAATGTCTAAAGGAATTATTAAACTAAAACATTGAGAATATTAGTGTTTCAACGAAAAAAAATCTTGTATAATAAGCTGGAAGCAATCTTTAACAAAATTGAAGATCATTCATAAGAAATATGGCAAGTTGAAATAAAAAAAAAACATGAGAATATTAGTAAAAGGAAAAAAATTGTAATTGTTTGAAAAGAGCATAGAATTATAGAATTGCTTTGAATAAAATTTTAAAATGCTTTTAGTAATTAACATTAGAAGAAAAAGACAACTGCCATTTTTAAACAATTATTCAATTAAATACAGGTAATATATTTTACAAAATTTAAATTATACAAATATAATATATATTTAATAAATCACTTAAGATTAGATCAATCGACTTAATCAACAGTTGGCTTAAATTCTGAGTCATTTCCTCTATTCATATTTGGCATTTAAGGTCCGGCTCCAGCAGCTGCTCCAGCTTAAGTGTAGACTCTTTACATAATAGGATGGAATTTAGATTCCAATTCTTTGAGCTTTTCTTTATAAACTTCTGCTTCTTCATTTTGATGACAATCCAGCCACTTTTAAGTTTATTCAACTAAATCAGTTAATTATCTTTTTTCATCAGCAGAAAATTTATCTTTTAGTTGTTCTTCATTCATAGTATTTTTGATGTGATATGTGGTAGATTCTAAAGAGTTTTTAGCTTCAATTCTTTGTCTAATCTTCTCGTCATCTGCTTTAAATTTTTCAGCTTCGTTGACTAATCTATCTATATCTTATTTAGATAATCTGCCTTTATCGTTAGTGATAGTAATTTTATTCTATTTTTTAGTAGCTTTATCTTCAGCAGAAATATTCATAATACCATTTTCATCAATATCAAAAGTAACTTCGATTTATGGTACCCCTCTCNTAAAAATTAGAATTAAATTTCTGTTGTTCAAAAAAAATAAACTATAAACTTAATTTGTATCTGAGGAAAATATTTTAAAATTGTATTTATAATTTCAATTAATCTTGAGCTCATCTTTTATTTTTTAGAGATCTTCTTTAAAGATTTACATTTCTTTAAATTCTTCATCTTTTGATTACAAAGCAATTGAAAAATGTTTCTTCAATTATTTAAATAGATTTATTCTTTGGAGATATCCATCCTTCCTTGATTTTTCTTCTTCATTAATCATATCTTCAACATATTATTTTTAACTTTGGCATACAGTCTTTTTCGTTTTCAGAAAATATCATAAATTAAGAGAGAACTTCATCCCTATTTTTAAATTGGATGTGAAGTCTATTAAAAAATCAACAATAGAATTAAATTTATGTAATTAAAAAAAAAATAAACTATTAATGAGTAAATGTCTAAAGGAATTATTAAACTAAAACATTGAGAATATTAGTGTTTCAACGAAAAAAAATCTTGTATAATAAGCTGGAAGCAATCTTTAACAAAATTGAAGATCATTCATAAGAAATATGGCAAGTTGAAATAAAAAAAAAACATGAGAATATTAGTAAAAGGAAAAAAATTGTAATTGTTTGAAAAGAGCATAGAATTATAGAATTGCTTTGAATAAAATTTTAAAATGCTTTTAGTAATTAACATTAGAAGAAAAAGACAACTGCCATTTTTAAACAATTATTCAATTAAATACAGGTAATATATTTTACAAAATTTAAATTATACAAATATAATATATATTTAATAAATCACTTAAGATTAGATCAATCGACTTAATCAACAGTTGGCTTAAATTCTGAGTCATTTCCTCTATTCATATTTGGCATTTAAGGTCCGGCTCCAGCAGCTGCTCCAGCTTAAGTGTAGACTCTTTACATAATAGGATGGAATTTAGATTCCAATTCTTTGAGCTTTTCTTTATAAACTTCTGCTTCTTCATTTTGATGAGAATCAAGCCACTTTTAAGTTTATTCAACTAAATCAGTTAATTATCTTTTTTCATCAGCAGAAAATTTATCTTTTAGTTGTTCTTCATTCATAGTATTTTTGATGTGATATGTGGTAGATTCTAAAGAGTTTTTAGCTTCAATTCTTTGTCTAATCTTCTCGTCATCTGCTTTAAATTTTTCAGCTTCGTTGACTAATCTATCTATATCTTATTTAGATAATCTGCCTTTATCGTTAGTGATAGTAATTTTATTCTATTTTTTAGTAGCTTTATCTTCAGCAGAAATATTCATAATACCATTTTCATCAATATCAAAAGTAACTTCGATTTATGGTACCCCTCTCGGAGCAGGAGCAATTCCATCTAATTAAAATTAACCTAATTTATGACAATCTTTAGTCATCTACCTTTCTCCTTCATAAACTTGAATAAGAACTCCTTACTAATTATCTGCATAAGTTGTACAAATCTAACTCTTTTTTGTTGGAATCGTTGTATTCCTTGGAATAAGAACACTCATAACACCACCAGCTGTTTCAATACCTAATGAAAGAGGTGTTACATCTAATAATACAATGTTTTCGCATTTTTATGAACCAGTTCCTGTTAAAATAGCTGCTTAGACTGCTGCACCATAAGCAACTGCTTCATCTGGATTAATAGATTTATTAAGTTCTTTTCCATTAAAGAAATCTTTTAATAATTCTTAAACTTTTGGTATTCTAGTTGATCCACCTACTAATACTACTTCATGAATTTGACTCTTCGACATTCCACTATCTTTTAATACTTATTCTACTGGAGGGATACATTTTTTAAATTGATCTAGACACAATTCTTCAAATTTAGCTCTTGTAATTGAACAATTAAAATCTTCATTTTCAGCTAAAGCATCTATTTCAATAGATGTTTAATTTGCTGAAGATAATATTCTTTTAGCCCTTTCACATTAAGTTCTTAATCTTCTCAAAGCTCTAGCATTTGATCTTAAATCAATTCCTTTCTTCTTCTAGAATTCCATACAACAAAATTCTACTAATCTATTATCAAAATCTTCTCCCCCTAAATGAGTATCACCAGATGTAGCTTTTACTTCAAATATACCTTCATCAATTGTTAATAAACTAACATCAAAGGTACCTCCACCTAAATCAAATATTAAAACATTTTTTTCCCCTTTTTATTTTTAATCTAATCCATATGCAATAGAAGCAGCTGTTGGTTCATTAATTATTCTTAAAACTTTCAAACCTGAAATTTATCCAGCATCTTTAGTAGCTTATCTTTATGAATCATTGAAATAAGCTGGAACTGTAATTACAGCATTTTTAATTGGCTTTCCAAGGTATGCTTCGGCAATCTCTTTCATCTTTGTTAAAACCATAGATGAAATTTCCTCTGGATGGAATTTTTTAGTTTCTCCTTTGAACTTAACAACAATTAATGGTTTATCATCTGCTCCAGCTTCTACTTTGAATGGCCATAGCTTCACATCCTTTTATACTGTTGGATCATTAAATTTCCTTCCAATCAATCTCTTTGCATCAAATACTGTATTTTATGGGTTTCTTGCTACTTAATTCTTCGCAGCATCTCCAATTAGTCTTTCATTATCTGAAAAAGCAACATAAGATGGAGTAGTTCTATTTCCTTGATCATTTGCTATAATTTCAACTTTATCATTAATAAAAACACCTACACATGAATATGTAGTTCCTAAATCTATTCCAATTGCAATATCTGTTTATTTTGACATTATTTTATTAGCTTCTTTACTTGTTTGATTAATTAAATGATTGTTCCTCTTCTTCAACAACTTTTAAATCAAAAGATAGAAAAATCTAGAAATTTATAATTCTCTAGAACTTTCTGGAAAATTATAATAATTCTGATAATTACTTTTAAAATATTAATTTATTAAAATAAATAACTATCATTAGTTACACAAAAAATCCTCCCCCAAAGTATTATTAGTTTTCTCCTTTCTCATTAATTTAACATTTTAAGTAAATCAACATTTTTTATAAACTAATGAGTATCAATATTAAATTCACTAAGGCATATATTTATTAAAATAATATATATTTATTTCAATAAGCAAATTTTGTCGTTTTTCTATTCTCATTTCAATTAGATATTATATATTTTAGACATTTAAATAATAAAAATATATAGATATAAATAAAAAATAATTTTAGATCATTAGCAAGCAACCTAAGATAAATTTTTCCTTCTCTTTGTTTATTTGAAATTTAACAATTGATTTGATTATCTTTTTATATATTTAGAATAATATTTATA